CCCGCGCCCCGCGCTCCCCCGGCGGCCCAGGACTAGTCCCCCCAACTTGTCCTCGCCGGTAACTAGTCGTGCAGCCGGGACGATGGGATGGGGTTGCCACAGCAACCAGACTGGACGTCACAATCCGGGCATGTGCGCCCCCCCACGCGCCGCCGCCGCCGTCGCCGCCGCCGCCCGAGCCCGCGCCGAGCGTGCGCCTCGCCCTCCTCCCGCGCCCGCTCTGCTCTAGGATGCTGCGGCAGGTTCTGCACAGGGGCTTGAGGACGTGTTTCTCCCGGCTCGGCCACTTCATTGCCAGTCACCCGGTCTTCTTCGCCTCGGCGCCGGTGCTCATCTCCATCCTGCTCGGCGCCAGCTTCAGCCGCTACCAGGTCGAAGAGAGCGTGGAGCACCTGCTGGCGCCCCAGCACAGCCTGGCCAAGATCGAGCGCAACCTCGTCAACAGCCTCTTCCCGGTCAACCGCTCCAAACACCGGCTTTACTCGGACCTGCAGACCCCCGGGCGCTACGGCAGGGTCATCGTCACCTCCTTTCAGAAAGCCAACATGCTAGACCAGCATCACACCGACTTGATCTTAAAGGTGAGAGAGGGACGGGTGCGGGCAGGCTCCCCTGGCGCTGCTGCCGCTGCCGGGCTGGCTCTGCGCGGGGTCCCGGCTGAGAGCGCCACCTCTCCTATCCTAGGCGGCTAGGGCAGGGGCACCCCTGTACTGCGCGCCCCTGGGCGGCCGCCCTAGCCCCTCAGCCTGCCCGTCAGGGAGTGCCCAGGTCGAGCCCGGCCCTACCCGCACAGCCTTCGCCTCCACCCGCAGCTGCTGCAACAGTTGGGGCGGCGGCGGCCACAGTGCTGTGGACGGTGCGCTTGTTTTGGTCGCAGTGGGCTTGGGGGCGGGGAGACTTTGGGGTAACTGGGCCAAGCAGCAGCAGAATGAGAGAAGACATTCAACAAAGTGCCTCTACTTGACAACAAAACATTACGCTGGGGTTGGGGGAGAGGACCGCTCCTCTGTCCCCAGTTTTTTTCTCCCTTCTTCTGGTCCCCGAAGTGTTTTTGAGAAAGGCTGCTGGGGGGTGGGGTGGGGGCAGAGGAATGGGAGGCGGTACAGTGGGAAAACTGCCTCCCACTCACCCAGAAAAAGTGTGGTCCCTGTGAGGACAGTGACTGCCCTGCTGCCCTCTCCTCCTGAGCAAGGTAGCCATATCTAAGTAGGAAATGTTTGTAATTCGCAGTTATTTCGCCTTTCACGATAGCTTGTCCTCTGAGATGCAAAAGCGTCTTTAAGAAAAGAGGGAACCCAAGGATTCCTTTTCACTTGGTGCTTTTGAGCTTGAGAGGGAGGGGCAGAGCCAGGAGGCTGAGGGCAAAAGCTGGGCTTGGTGGCCCTGGGAAGAGCGCAGGAAACGGAGCAGCTGGTTAGACGTGGTGGCACGAACAGAAGTCAGTTGTGCCATCAGCCTGAGGTGGGAATTTGATGTGAAAAGTGAAGTTAATGGCGGTAACTTTCAAGAAGTTCCAAAGGACTAGAGATGGGGAAGTGGAGAGCATGGAAGAGAAAAGGGAAACTAGGTGAAAATGTTTTATCTGAATCCCTGGTGGGGACTGTGGGTTTGTTTACTTCAGGTCCTCCTCTGGAGAGAGCAGGGAACCAGTCCTAGCTAGGGCTCTGATGCCCAGGCATGGAAAGTGCTGGGTTTGTTTGGGTCCTGGTCCAGATCTGGGACTAGAAGCAAACGAGATTTCTAGTCTGCTTATGCCAAGAAGACTCTGCTAGTGAACCTCTTCCTGTCGTCCTCTCCAGGTAGCGGTTTAACCCTAGAGAGGAGCTCATTTTCTTCTATTATTTTCCTCCCTCTCTTTGTTGACATGTTATCAGTCAGCAAGTAGTAAAGAGGGGAATCTGGCTGGAGACTCAGTGGAATTAAATCATCCACATTGAGAGGCTCATGGTGTTTTTAATGGCACAAAAATCATCACACATACTTATTGTCGAACCTTATTAACGTTAATCCTAAGATGTTCGCTTTTTTCTAGATTAGACTTCCAACATCAGAGTGTTTTTTTCATACTTGTGAACATATGTTGACACACAGATAAATACTGTTCCAACCGCTTTCCCGAGAAAACAAGTAGTAGATTCATCACAGGTTTAAGGAAACTATAATTTAGCCAACCCTGACAGTTGGAAATGCCCCATTTTTTGATAAATGATCTATTAAATGATGTTTCTCTTTGGAATTTTTCTTCCCTGAGATGTTTCCACTGGCTTTTTCCCCCTAACAAATCATCACGCCACTGTGATGAGCAGTCACCAGTTACATTCAGTCTCAAGGTTAATGAGACATCAACAGGCACATCAGGTCTTTTTCAACTGGATTCTTTCTCCTCTGATTGTGACTGGTTCAGCAAAGGTTGGGACTGGAGCGAGGGAGGCCAGCTTTGCCTCTTTGGCTAAAGGGCAACTTTAAAGGACAGTAGTGGAGTCAGTGGACTGTTTTAAGAAATGAGATGGTTCTTCATGGTCTAGGTGTTTGGGTGAAATGAAAAACAAGCTAAATAGTGGTCAGAACTCATTTCAGTCAAATGGCTCTCTGGTCAGATGAGTTCATAAAGCTTATTAAAGATCCAAACTTACGAACCCTAGGGAATTATCTTCAATTTTAAATTATATATCCTCCTCTCCTCCCTACATCTAACTCCTATTTTGGTAGGTATGGAGCAGGGGGATAGGAAAATGGACTTTCAGTAGTCATGGTAATGTAAAGTGTGGGAGTGAGCACTTTTTTTTTCTTTTTCCATTTAGAGACACGATGACTTGTCCTTTACAAAAGGTGTTTTGAGTGAAAGAGTCACTGTTACTGTAGTAACTAGTGTTATTCTGATATGTGGTTATTGGCATCAAGGTTAGCACCAACAGTTAACACCTACACAATACCAAACAGCCCCTGCTTGTTTTGCGGCATCTCACTCGGAGTAAAATGAAGTGGGCAGATCTTCAGCAGGATTTGAGGCTTTCTCAGGACTACCAAACTGGAGGAAGAAACGTGTATAGGGTGTAGGGTATTTCAAGCATGATGTTTCTCTCTTCATGTTTGGGGGCTGTACTAGTCAATGAAAGTGATCCTTCTTGGGCTATTAGTGCAGATAACTTGCTGACTAAAAATAGACTGAGCGGGGACAATGACAAAAATTTGAAAAGCCACATTGACTTTTTGAAAATGTAATTGAGAGTATCACAGAAAATCTGTGTTTGAAAATCTCACTGTCCTGGTTCAAAAATGATCTCAAATTTATGCAAGTGGCATGAGTACCATACTCTGCAGAGAGTGAGTCTCTCCACAGTGCTTTCCTCTGAAGGCTTCAGGCCAAAGATATAATTTGGGGCAAAAGTGGATGGAACCTGATGGTGGCTGCTAAGGGCTCAGCCATTAATTTTTGAAATGTTGATCTCCAAAGGTCTTCATTTAAGGAGAAAATTAAATTAACTCATTATAACTTTTAACAGAAAATCCATAATGTTCATCTCAGAGCAAATTTCAAAGTAGGGCCTCACAAGCTTTCATGGATATGTATTTCCATGATCACATAAAGGTGAAGTATAAGAAGATCCCACTGATAATTGATTTGGGCTGTGACTAAGACCATATTTGATTTATCCGAGAATCATCCACACAGAACGAAGAATGAGTGTAGCTGAGTTCTTATGATAATGTTATCACATTTAAAACACTCTATAGGTAATAAACATAAAGTGTGTTTAAGTACGATATACTGGGGAAAGTGTCCCATTTTGCAGATGAGGAATGTACTCCTTAGAAGTTAACTGATTTGTCTATGGAAAAAGCGTGGACAGACCCAGGACCAGACGCAGGGTTTTAGACTTCAAACCCCATGCTCTTTTCACTATAATTTACTGCCTTTCATATGATAACTACTTGAATGATTTAAAATATATATCTTGTTATCCAAGTGAAGCACATTTGACCAAAATCAAATATCCAATCTCGTACCATCGTTCCAACATTAGTAATTGAATAATAAGGACCTTTTCTAGGCTTGTTCTAAGTGGTGTTGATGAAAATCGACATGGAGAAACTACAAATGCCCAAAGCAAAGCATTTGATATTTGTAATGAGCAATATACAAAGGTACAATATTTTAGTGGAAAAAATCACTGGGTGACTGACCACAGCTGTTTTCCGTTAGAGTGATGTTCATTGGCAGGCTCCAGGTGGGTTCAAGTCTAGGGGATCGTACAGTTCCTGGCAGATAGTAGCTATTTAATAAATACCTGTTAAATGGACCTCTCCTAGTTTACTAAAACATTTATGTGATGGGTAGAGAAAATTCTATAGGAACTACTCTGAAATGTATTTTAAATGAAATTTTTTATTTTACAACTTTACAGGCAATTTTTAGGCATCTCTTTTTTGGAGACACCATTTTCCCTTCCTTGATAATTTCTATAGTCAAATCAAAACATATTTTGGTTTTACAGTTGGATAGGAATATTTCCTTTGAGCAATACCCTCTTCTTCAGAAGGACTTGGGACATTGAATTCCAAACCAAGGGAAGGACACAGCCTCACTAAGCAGATGTTCTTCCACATATTAGAGAATCACATCATGTTCAAATATCAAGTTTCTGTTTTATTTAAACCTTTTATGTTTAAATATATTAGGTAGAATTAAACTACAAACAATGTTAATAGAATTTAACTTGGAGTTATTTAATTTAAGGCTTTCCAAGAAGGGCAGCTTAACCGCTTAGCTCAGGGTCACAAAGACCTGATAGCTAGATCAAAATCCATGTTTTTCCAAATATTTTGTCAAGACTTAATCATTACAGGAATTACCATTATTTCTTCCTTTACAATGTAAGGATCAGTAAATTCCAGCCAATTTTTTAGCTTGAATGAATTTTTACATTTATGAAAATCATAAACAGAACAAGACCATACATCAAGGACTTGTGATGTTCCATACATGCAAAGTTCACATGTTGTATTCCAAAATTCTTTTACCTGAGCCCTTTCAGGATGTTGACCCTGTTCAAATAATTCATAAAGGGGCTGGGGATTTAGCTCAGCGGCATAGTGCCTGCCTGGCAAGCACAACGTCGTGAGTTCGATTCCCGGTACCGGAAAAAAAACAAAACAAAACAAACAAATAACTCATAAAGCAGTTCTCAACTGGGGGTAACAGTAACCTCTCAGAGGATGTTTGGCACTGCCTGGAGACATTTTTGTTTGCCATAACAGCAGGGGGAGACTATGCTACTGGGGGGATGCAGTGGGTAGAGGCCAGGAATCCTGCCAAACATCCTGTAATGCATAATATAATCCTCAGAACAAAGAATTATCTGACCCCCAAATGTTGATAGTACCCAGGTAGAGAAACTCTCCTAAGTATGTTTCTTTTTATTAGTTTTTTTTTTCAGGCATACTGATTATGTAAATTGAAAAAAAATGTCAAAGAAAAATTCACATTCAAAAATCTTACAGCACTTTGGAGATAAATATTGCAACCTCTGAGATGATGCTGTCTCAGGCAATTGGGAAGACACCAGATTTCCCAATGTAA